ACAAAAACTGATTCGTATATAAGGAGTCAATTCGTATGCAAACAACAGAAGTCAAAAGGCATAAAGTTTGCTGAACATGAAACAAATGCAAAAAGTCAGCTCGTACACACGGCCTTTTTTACGTTGTGTAAATGTAAAATTTCAATAAAATTTATTAAAAGTAAAAAAAAATCGGGGGGAAAATATTAATGGATAATGGTTTCACATTACACTTTACCATCTTAGGAAATAAAATAATTATTGTTAAACCAACACACTCTCGGCGGTTTCTTTGCTGTTTTATGTGTGACAAACGCTTATTACGAGATCTTCCTAATTTGGTATTCCCTAATTACGAGATACTCCATGCTTGGAAAGCGTCGATCCCCAAATTTCTCCATTTCCGAAAATTCAGTTAACATGATTTGAGGACTGCGTATTCCTTGTTGCAGAACTGCATGAAATTTATTAACGCACAAAATTAAACTAAAATTGTCTTCTTTATTCGAACATATTTTAAAAAAGAATTGAACTAAAGGAATCAGTCTACATAAAAAATTCAGCATGTTTTATTTCATAAATTTGACGATCAACATTTCGATTGACCAACGTGCGAAGTTATATAGGGTCCTCGAAGTAAAAATCTCCACTAATTAGATAGGGGTCACGTGGTACTGAAACGTCATAGGTATCAATGGTCAATAGAACTCGTAAAGCTTATCGTAAGAAAAAATATATTGAATAGATTTTACGCTAAATAAATAGAATGCACAGTATGGCCGGCTGAAATTTTGACATCGACTATATTCCTTTGGTTATGGACGGTCAATCTTTTAGGTATGAACGTCTAGCAGAGAGAAATAACCAGAAAATATGCCGACAGTTGGAGAGAGGTCACCGAAGACGAAGCCGTTGACAACTCGGGACTTCAACTAAATAGAACGAATTACTAAAGTTTAACTTCGTAAACATTTATAAATATGGGAATTTTTAATTCCCCTTCATTATTAATTTAATTAATTATAATTAAATAAATGCTGTATATCTTCTATCTGTTCTAGAAGTGGATATCATGTACTAGAAATGACTCTTCTTCAATGGCGCCGTACGCCATTACGAAGTTCACAACATTCCTACTAGATTCTGTGCGACCTATATAAAATGCGTGTTTGTCATTTATATTTTTTATCTTTCCTTAAAATATTTCATAGGACAGAAAAAAAAAAAATCGTGATCGATCGGGCATAAACGATTGTTCTGAATGGAGATTAACGCCATCGTATTTGCAGAGAAAGGCCCCCCTTTCATCTCTCGACCAAGTCCAGGAAATGTGGAGAAAAAATTCTTCCTAAAACCTTTCTTGTGCACATTTGTGCACCATAAAGCGATAAATTATACATTACAAGCTGTCAATTATTCAATTATCACTTAATTATATTCTAACATGTTTAATAGACACAGCAAATTAGCCCTTTTGTATACACAATAAGTACTTCGCTTGACCATGATTGACACCTATGACGTCAGAGCAATGGCGCGTAACATCGGCGATCAAAATATGCATATTGAGAAATTCAAACTTTGAATCGCTGAAACATCAAAAATATAAATTTTCTAGCAAAGATTTTTAAATATATGATTTAAATAGCATATAAACTTTGTCATATCAAAAACTTTTGAGACGTGATAAAAACCCTTTAAACTATGTCTTAGGAAAACATTTACAGGTAATATACAGGTAACATCCTGTGTATATAGGTAGGTATACACAAGCCAGCTTGGTTCCCTCGGGGCTTCACAGCCGTTTCAATTAAGCTCCACCCCACACCAAACTTGCCTGAGGAAAACCGACCGGTTGAAAACCTCGGCCTTTAAATGTTTTATTTGAGACGTTTTTTGGAATTTTTATACAATAATACTTATACAGTTTATTGAAATTTTACGTGTCTTTTGATTATTTGAATTTCTAGTATCTGTTGACGATACTATATTAGAAAAAGCTATATTTTCGAAATGGAAATAAAAATCACGTCCTCTTAAAGTTTACATAAAAGAGAGTTTTTGAAGGCAGATACGATGCCATTTTGCAAAGTTTATTACGGTTCTATCTAAAAACAAAAGTCATTGCCTAATTATCTCGGACACAAAAACTACTGAAAGGATGCTAATTTATCAAAGCTATAATTATAAGACTGTGACGAACAAAAGTTACCCATATATTTCATTTGTATTTGAAAACTCTATCGTGCCTCGAATAAAATTTACCCTTTAAAAATTGTAAGAAAAAAGCTACACAAATACATGTACATGAAATATTACGATTTTCTTGCGAATTCAGTTGACTTAATATAGGGCAGTCTTCTAGATTTGTTTTCAAAACTTCGTATTACGCAATGACAAGCGGGGTCAGTGCATATTAAGATGTTAAGAGAAATAGAGGGTGAAAGATATTTTGTTATTCTGTTCTTCTTCTTTTTTTTCTTTTCAGTATATATATATCAAACAAAAAGGTAAAACTACTGTACAATTCTCGAAGTCTTTCAACCTTATAGAAATAAGTAAATTACTGGAAATTGGCAAAAATGGGGATCCAAAGATAAAGTCTATTTCATTATCTTTCAGCATATGATTTATGTCGCACAATCTACAGTACAACGCCAAAAGTGATTCATCATTTCCCTTTTTACCATGATATATTTTAAGAAAAGTTAGTTTTTGTTTAAAAAAAAAATGTTGTGAGTTCAATTTTATTCCAGATTAGCAAAATTTGATAATTAACCACTGAGTATAAGATTTTAAATTATAAAATCACAATTTCTAACTTCAAAACACCACGATTTCATGACACTTTTTGTTGTAAAATTTAACTTTTTTCATTTGATACTTGATATCGCCAGAAAAAAGATCCCTCACTGCACAATGGCCCTCAGCGCTGAGTATAGATATAAAATTTGCAGCCCACCAATGGCAATGGTGGCGTCTCATTATGAGTGAAAAATTCCCGAGAGGGACGTTTTAATTAAAACAAACAACAATCAAACAAAATCGTTCATGCCACCGTCTATCAGTACTCACAGTACTTTGATTTTATGTAGTAGTAGTATCTTTATTGGCGTATACATTGCATGTATTGCAACCGTATAATTGTCGTATCATTTGAAAAATTGGAAATTATCACTTAAAAATCTGAATCACACCGATTAATTGTCATATTTATGCATGCGCGGATCTAGAAGAACGCAAAGGGGGGGGGGGGTGGTCCGGACCCCCACCCCCACCCCCTGGAATTTGTAGAGTTATTAAAAAGTATATATTGAAGCAAATAAAAAATGACTTTGGACACCCCCCCCCCCTTAGAACAGAAAAAAACGTGGACCCAACCACTACCGCCACGAAACATGGCCGTATGAACCGGGGGGCACGGGGGGCCGTGCCCCCCCCCCCTGCCAATAATTTTGCCGATATATAGGGTGAATTCACCATACATCGGACACCCTCGCACTTCAACAAGTTCTAGCGATATCGCTACCGACCGAATATTATCAAAATGGAACTTAATATGTAGTATGTGGTTAAAATATAAATTTTTGACACAACCGCGCCCTATTTATTGAGAAAATATCATTAAAAACCGATTTTTTCGGAATAAGTAAGAATTCACCATGGATCGGACAATATTCACCATGCATCGGACATACGATATTTAAACCAGAAAAATATCATACCTTGATCTCCGTGCTTTAAAATGAGTGATATCGAAACATTTTTATCTTTTATTTAAAAATTAAACTTCTAATTAAATTTGAATGACTTTTTCGATCCACAAATGTGAAGAGATTTTAGTTGCATCACATCGCCTTAGAAAGGCTTTACAGTACTAGTAATATGGCAACTCGCGCCTTTGTCTCGTGGGTTATCATCATCTAGTTTAAAGAAATAAATTGAGTCCACTTCTAGTCGTCATATATCGATAATTTGTATTTTCACTGAATATTTAGAGTTTCTATTTCTTATTTCCGTAAAAAACAGCTGTCATTTGGGTTTTATATGAAAATGGAAGTGATTACCCATGCATCGGAAAGTGTCCGATGCATGGTTAATTTGTGTCCGATGTACGGTGAAATAAATATACTTGAAAAAAAACAACTGTAAAATATATTATTCAAACATTGAAGTAAAAGTTTTGAAAAATTTCTCTAAAATAATCAATTATTGATAAATTTTACCTAGGTCCGACCCGTTCCGTTGACGTCTATTTAAAAGAACGACAACTCTAAAAATTGCAAAATCGTAAAATTCTGGTTACTCCCCTTTGATGATGCAAAATATGACGTAACTTCAAGGCCATTCTTGTGGTATTTTTATCACAACATGAAAATAAAAATCGGCATCATTAAAAAGTGTAAATCTTCCCCTTTAAGACAGAAACAAGTAAAAACACGAGGAGACTCGGGTTCAATGAAAGTTTATTGCTTCAAGTTGTCCGAAGCAAGGTATGTGTCCGATGCATGGTTAACTCACCCTAGATTACTATAGAAAACAGAGCTACTACATGCTTGTGCCCCCTCAATAAAAACGTCCGATGACCTTTTTTTTTTTTTTTTTTTTGCTTGTTTTTGGTTGATAGTGCCCCCTCAACTAAAAATGTATGGCTGTGCCCCCCCAAACTGAAATTGCTTCCTACGGGCCTGCCGAAATAGATAATCTTTACGTTTGGGGATGAATTTTTTTCCGAGTTCGATATGTTTGGGATGGGAAAGGAATGTATGGAGCTGTAGTGGTTTTTTTTTTTATTAAAGTATTATTGGTAAATTATAATTATAGTATTACACACACACACACAGGCACGCACACTTTGTACATAGTTCTTGGATCCGCCGCTGGTTTCATCTGTATCATCATTACGGGGAAACTTGCTCAGTGACTGACTGGTCATGCTGATTGGTCTTTATGGTTCTCGTGTGCATGTACTCCGACACGCAAACGCACACACACACACACACACACACACACACAAACACCGATTTAAAACTTTCTGGCACTCTGTTGACTTTACGAATTCCCAAAAGCACCCCCACTTATGTGTTTCTTTGGAAGCGGTGTGTTTTCTGTGTTTTTAATTGTCGGTTTTCCAAAAATCTCAAGTTTCGCTTTCGTTTTTTGAGTTAGACGTAAAGGAAAACTTCTAAAGGTAAGCAAATATTACATATAAATTAACAATTTTCAAATATTCAACATAAGTGCATGATTAACTTTCTTTTAAAAAAATTAATATGATGAAAATGACATTTTCGCAGAAGATGGCATACATAATTATGTACGGACGCTTGGACGCACTTTTCGAAAACTGTCAACATGCAGCTGACGTTTTCATTCGGCTGACGTTTTCCGTAGAACTAAGTATTGAACTATTGTGAAATGTATATTGAAAAAAAAAATAGAACTATGTTTACATAAAACAATAACATGTTCCTGTCTCTTGAGGATTTGTAAGGAGTATATCTATTAATTCATGCGCGGATATAGAGGGGTGGGGGGTCCAGAGGAGGGTTCACGTTTGGGAAATGATTTTACCTTTTTTTGTGCGTGTCAATTTTTGGGGGTTTAATATGTTACGGAAGGGAATTTATTTATATTTTTTTTATTTTTATTTTATTTTATTATTATTTTTTTTTTTTTGGCTTGTGAAGAAATTTCCAGGTTTGAAATTTATTTGACTAGGGTGGAACACCCCCCCCCCCCCCCCCTCGGAAAAATTCCTGGATCTGCATCTGTAATTGTCCGTCAAAATAATGGCACAGGCATGACAAGGAACGTTTTGAAAATTCCATGAAAAAATTACATGTCCTACTTTCACTATTTTTGATTTCTTGAATTGATTTTTCTGCAACACCATTTCTGTCCTTGACAACCATGCAAAATGAAGATAAGTGCCTGTGTATAAAATTAATTATATAAATCTCCAACATTATGAATAGGTACTTGTATAGAAAAAAATTACATAATTGCACATATTCTTACATTTTAGTATTTTTACACATCAATGCATGGTCAATTGAAGGTGGATCCATATGGTATGCCAGTGTGCCAGATATGCATCCTCCCCTTTGATTTTGTTGTGCTCCTGTCAATTAAAATTTAGTTTACTCAATTAGTGTACATGCAAAGTTACATGTACATAATTTAAAGTGAAGGCCCCTGTGAGGGTACATTTGTTTAGTGCATATTGTTGTTGGTGAAAATAAACACCAGGCCTACTCTCACTGCACTTATTGTTGTTTATTGGCACATACATGTATGTATTGTTGACAGCTCCAAATTGATACAGTCATGTACATATTGTTGCCAGTGACAATAAGTGCTGTGCCTATCCTCACATGCATATTGTTCCCCCCTTTAGGGCCTCCAGTAATTTGGATGATTGTGATGATGATATTCAGATAATATAAAAGATCATATCTACAGTTTTCATGAAAAATTGTCCCATTCACTCAAAGATAAATCAATGTTTTTCTGCAATGTCATTTTAAACTTCAATGAAGCAGCTTATGAAATTCTATATTTCATATATACAGTTGCAATTGACACTGTAAAAGGATGAAGATAGAAACAGCATGATGGAAAAAACAAAAAAATTCTTTCTGAGTCACTCTCTTCATGACCCTAGTAAATTATTCTTCAAAACATATATAAACTAGTTATAATTGTAACGGGAACCGTTACAGATGTTCCCATAATGCTCCCCAACTCCCTTTTGGTGTCTTATTTCCTGTAAGTCTCATTAAATAAGGCAATCAAGTATATTGGTCGTTTTACGCAATACACGCGCACGCAGTGCATGCATGTTCATGATGACCATCTTGTCATCTTGTCTACACTATTAATATATTTTATAAAACTGAGTATCAAAGAATTTCATCAAAAAGTTTAAAAGTTACGGCTATATCAAGTATATTGGTCATTTAACACATTGCGCGCGCATGTGCATGCATGTTCTTGCATTCAATTTTGATAATAAGATAATGTAGGAATCCATTATACCTATTTATATTCTAAATTTCATCCTGTTTTGTTGAGAACCAAGAAAGTTACAGCCATTTTAAGTTTAAGCCAATCAGATTGCAGCACACGTGCATGCACGTGCTTTCATGATAATTCTTACATATCATATTGGAGAACCTTCTAATGTATGACTATGTTTTAAATTTCAAAGTATTTTGTCAAAAAACAAGAAAGATATTAGGACTTTTGTTTCAGCCAATCAGAGCGAAGCGCACGTGCATGCGCGTGAGTTCATGCTGATTTGACCATGTAATCTAGTCTACTCTACTAATATATCTTTATGTTATGAGTTTCAACGCATTTCATCAAAAAATGTAAATGTTACGGCTATATGAAGTATGTCAGTCATTTCACTCATTGCATGCACGTGCACGCAAAATGACCTTCGACGAGCACATCTACACAACATGCCTATTAACCCTAAAAAGGTTTTAACTCAATTGGATGAGCAGTTTCCGAGAACACTCGCGGAACAAAAAGTACCGGAGAAGAAATAAGAATAAAAAAGAATAATAATAAAAACTAGAGCAAAGCTCGTTGCAAAGCAACGAGTGGGTCTTCCTTCTTAGCTTGTAAGTTGACGTCGTAATAAAAGGATAAATATTTGTTTAATTTCCACCTAAAGGTTACATGTTTCTGTTTAGATTGTCAACTTTGCTAACATTCTCTTTCTTCTTTGACCCAAATATCAAAAGACCTCATCTCCGGAACTCTGAATCTGGAGTGAGCATGAGGATATATAATTCAACTGTACTCTCTCCAACAGTACTCCTGAAATTGTATCCAAAACACTAATACTCCCAGACCCTCAGTTCTTGAACTTTGACTTTTGATTTTTAATTTCTAGACTTTTCTATTCATCTAACATCTTTGATGCAATCATGTTAGTAACACGTGTCATACTACAGAATCATCAGTGTTTTGCTACATCACTGTCATAATAATTGCTTGACAAAACATTTACACAGCATAACTACATAGTAAGTAATCCAAATGTGTTACTGATTGAGGATATCCATTCTTTGACAATCAGTAAGTAGAAAAATACTCTTACAAGAAATGCACAGGGATGATTTCAGTAAGACACGGTGTCACTTGTGGAAAATTTTAACATAACATCTTTTTTAGCCTTTAACTTAAAAGTTAAACTTCATTATCTCAAAAACTGATATCTAAATACATGTACCATTTATATGGTGAATTGAGTTGGTACTCCCAACCCCTTATTCTTTAAGTTTTTTACCCTGCATGGTTATCTGGACTCATTGGATGTCTTGATGATCTTGGTCCAGTTGAAATTGAGAAAAAAGGGTTTTACTGTACTTCTTGGGTTCATTTATTCAAATGTTTTACAAGGGGGGAAAAAGACACATATATTTAAATTTTCGTAACATGTTAAAATAATCTTTTACATGTACATGTATATTACACATATATTCAAGTAAATTTTTTTAATAAGAATTCATTAAAAATATTTGAATCCATTGAAGTTGATTGCAGTAGATATAATGTGAATTATGAGCCTAAGACACAACAAGCAAATTTAAAGAATAGTGGTCTCATTCTGTCATTTGTCAACTGAAAAAGTTTGATGATAATAGGCCTGAAGCTGTTCAAAATATGCCTCTAAATCATTTTGAAAAAGAATGGCTGCAAAATTTAAAAAGTAGGTAACCATAAACTACTTTTGAGTCAACATGATAGGGGTCCTTAGATGCATCAACTGACAAGATTTGATGATCCTAGTCCTTATAGTAAGCAAAATATCAACATTTTAATAAATGTAATTTTTGGTCAATTTTGAAGTGACCTTGAGACCAAGCCCTTTGTCCCAGAGTGATTCCCTGTGCAAATTTTAATCTACAATATATTCTCATCCTTTTGTGAAAGTTTGGTGATAATCTGCCCAGTGGTTCTTGAGAAGACAATTTTTTAGCAACCAGTACTTTTGGTTTTATTTACCTAATTATCTCCCCTTGTTTAAGGGTCACAACCCTAAGTTTACTATAAACGGGAGCCCTTGGGCCATGGATACACTGTGACAAATTTGACAATAATTGGCCAAGGGGTTCTTGAGTTATGGCCCATATTCTAACAAGAGGCCCATGGGCCACAATGCTCACCTGAGTTACTTTGGCCTGCTGTTCTTCACCAGACCCGCCCTCCCTTGTAATATTTATTGCAGCCCCACCCTACCCCCGGGGGCCATGATTTGAAAAATTAGAATCTACACTACCCCAGGATGATTCCACACATGTTTCAGTTTTTCTGGCCCAGTGGTTCTTGAGAAGAAGATTTTTAAAGATTTTGCCTATATATTTCAATGTAAAACTTTGATTCCCTATTGTGGCCCCGCCCTACCCCTGGGGGCCATGATTTGAAGAATTTAGAATCTACACTACCTCAGGATGCTTCCACATAACTTTCAGCTTTTCTGGCCCTGTGGTTCTTGAGAAGATTTTTTAATGACCCCACCCTATTTTTGTCTTCTCTTGATTATCTCCCCTTGTAAAGGGGGTTGGTCCTTCATTTTAACAAACTCCCCTTCACCCAAGGATGCTGTGTACCAGCTTTGGTTAAATTTGGCTCAGTGGTTCTTGAGAAGAAGACAAAAATATGAAAAGTTTAGAGACAGACAGACAGACAGACGGACAGATGACGGACAACTGGTGATCAGAAAAGCTCACTTAAGCTTTCAGCTCAGGTGAGCTAAAAAGTTTACGTACACCACACAAATGGCCATAGCATTAGCTCTTTAAGCCTTTGGCTCACAAGAGCTAAAAAGATAAAAAGAATTATGTATCTTAGAGTTGTCTATTTGTAATCAAAGCTATATTGAAATCAGACCAATTTCTTGAAATAAAAAATTGCACTGTTGTAGTGCAAAAAAATTAATGATATTTTACATGTCGCTACAATATTCAAAGAGGGTGTGTTGCAAAATTTTGAATTAAATTAGAGGGGTTATGACTGTTTCATCGCTAATTATAGATGATCAATGCGAAAACACAAAGTTGAGAATTGCAATGCCATTGAAAGTCTTGGAGAGCACCGAGCTATTAAAAAATTATTTCTTCAGACAGGTCATTTTTCAATGTGCACAGTAAATTTTCCTTAAATCAATGTGTC